TTTGTTGGTGTATCGTTAATAATAACCGATGATCTAACGGATTCTAAGCAACCATTTATCCATAATTTCCAAATGGTTTGGAAACCCATTTATTCTACTATGGAGTCTAGAAAACTCAAGCTCAATGTGTCAGATTGTTTTTTCAGAATCTATTATAAACATCATCTGTTCTCTTTTTGAGTGTTTGATCCAGGAGAGTACCCAACTAATCAATCTTAGAATGTTTCATCGGGACACAAACGCAGACTAAACGCCACTCACCATTGAGCCAATTATCTTTTTTTTTATTCTAATTTCTAGAGGTTAAGAGGGTTTGTTTACCTAGGAAATAAGATATATGATAAAATTTCTCTAAACTAGAAGTCAAGTCTAAGGCTAGGCGGAGTGGAGACGGTAACCCTCGACGAATCCGATGTGTACTCGGCAAACACCACCCCGCGAACTCAGCATCCCGAGTTTGGCACCCTAACTCGGCATCTTATTACCGAGTCTCTCTCAACCCTCTCTTTTCACAATATTTTATTGTCACTCTCTATCCTCCTCTCAACCCTCTCTTTTCACAATATTTTATTGTCACTCTCTATCCTCCTTCTCTTCTCCCACTCCTATTGGTTGGCAAACAAGTTGCAGGCTGAGGTGGAGCTGAGTGACTTGTACACCACTCCCCTCAACCTAATGTCATATTATGTACTTCACTATGGTTTCGACGATACACTCTGAAATATATAATATGTTTTTTTAATTTAAATAAAATAAAATGATCATCTTATTATAGGGAAAACCTCAAGAAAACTAACATAATTTCATCAAATATTTAAAAAAAAAAACACTATATTATTTTTTAATGCACTAAAACCCTTATATTTTCTGAAATTCTTATATAAGGTTTTCTAACCTTAGAAAAACTCAAGGTTCTAAGTAATGTAATGCGTCATTTGGCGTCAATGTCAAGCCTCAAGCTTTTCTGAGTCTTGGCGAACCACGTTATTTGTAAGGCGTGACTTAAGGCGATAATTTGTATATAATTAATATTTTTATATGTATTTTCAACTATTTTCTATTTTATACACATATATAAGTTAAGGTGGCGTTTTGGTAAAGCTTGACGGTATGTACAAGCCTTGGAGTTATGGCGTACCATGGCGGAACCATGATAAGTTTTTTAGAACCTTAGAAAAACCTAACCTATTTTCATGAAAGGATTAAAAAAATCATTATATTATTCTTTTTAGTGCATTTAAACCCTCATGTTTTTAATTTTTTTTTTAATCTAATGAATTGTAACAATTAAAACGTTGAGAATTGATTATCTACCATTTTTTGCTATATAAGATTTACCGAGTTCAATAATTTAAATGATACATTTTTAAATATATAAGGGTTTTAACGTATAAAAAATAATATAATAATTTTTTCTAAGACTTTAATGAAATTATAAGTTGAATTTTTACAAAGTTTTCTCCATATTATAAGACAAAATATTAACTTTTTATACATTTGGGAATTTGAGGGACATGGCCTGCACATGTGTTAATATGATGATGTTTAATTGGGAAATTATAAATAAGATTTTTGACATTTTAGTACACAAATTCAAACAAGTGAATCATGATTTGTTCTCCAACCACCACCATCATTTATTGCCACCACATTTATGTTAGTTGCCCATGATTATCTCACTATTCAAGTAGGTGTAACCTAAAATTTCAAAATAAAGTTCTTACCTTTACCAAAATTAAACAAAGTGTCGCACCACATATCAAACAATGCATCATCAGATCATTACTTCATTCAAAGGTGCTGATTAATGATATTAAAACAAGAAATTGACAAATCTAAAAAAAAATATATTAAGTTTATTTTAAAAATAAAACAAAAAAAAAATCATGATAAACAACTTTCCACTGCAAAATGTCCAAATTTCAGAAAAAATAAATAAATAATAAATAAATTAAAAAAAAAAAAAAAAAACTTATAGGTTTGACCTGTGACTTCACATGTGTGACATGCTTGCCCAAAACAATGACCTTTCGAATAAAAGACCGTAACTTCACATGTGTGACATGTTTGCCCAAAACAATGACCTTTCGAATAAAAGACCGTAAGTTTAACTTGTGAATTTATTTTTCAACGTGATAATGTTCATATTTTTATGAAAACCGTGACATGACGTTTTGTCAAGTAATATTTTTTCTAGAATTTTTTTGCAATAGTAATCTTTAAATATTATTTTTACAGCAAAATAGAAAATAAAGTTTTATTAGCTAAAACGAGATCAAAGGTTGAGAGATGTTTCTCTCTCTCACACACACACAAAAAAAAAAAAACCATTTCGGAAGACCAAAGACCGATTTGTAGTGGAATTTTATTAACTTTTGTCTATTTTTTGAATATAGAAAGATTGGTTTTCAAACTCCAGAATACCTGTATATTTTGGACTTCAGATTGTACTTAGATTGGTCTTGGTGGGAGTGGACTCGGCATATGAAGCTCAGCTCGACAATTCAATAGAAAATTACCGATGAGAATCATTAAGGAAGAAGACAATTAGATTGCAACTTTGACAGATTCGATCTCTGTAATTTCATGCAACGAGAGATTCTGCCTTAAAGTTGAAATATCTCTTCAAAACTGACTTCATGAAATTACACAATACCCCATGAACTTCTAAAACCTATTTATATTAAATAAATCTAATTAATTTTAAATATTATTATTATTATTATTATTATTATTATTATTATTATTATTTTAACCTCTTTACATCTATATAATGCATTTTATTTAGTTATTCATTTGTCAAACCTACAAAACTTTGCCTTTGATTATTTATTATATTAATTAATTTAAAAACAATTAACATGACAAGTGTGGCAACCCACGCCATGTAAATGAAAAAAATTTAAAGCAATGTAACAAATTCTAGGTGATGCCTACATAGACCATGACAAACTTGGTACCACTCCCAAGGCTAGTGGGTATGGTGTCACATTTGTCACTGTCCACGTAGGCGTCATGTCACACTTTAGCCAAAAATTGTCATTTGCTAAGCACGAGTTGCCACACTTGTCATGTTACATTTTTTCTAATATACAAAGTAAATATTTCAAACATAGCATTTTTAAAAAACTAAAAATTCATTAAACTTAAGATAAAAACATAGAAATTCAAAAATACAACAAACACACCAAAAAAATAGAATTTAAAATAAAAAACATAGAAACTAAACTTACCAACCTGGATAGACCTAAATGACATCTTCATCGGAAAATTGAACTTCCAAATCGTCGATCGGTTTCGCGTTAAGATCGATGTGGTCGACGTTCCAAATATGTCCCATCAAGTCCCTACGAAGAACATGATGTGTCTCAACATCATGAACTATTGTCCTCCTCAACATGTACTCCACACTTCCAACCTCAAATGCTTATGTTGGTGGAACAATCTCGTTTTTGTTATAATCACATATTGCATTTCTTTCATCTTCAAGAATCATATTATGCAATATGATACAAGTATACATCACCTTGCTCACTTTCTTCTCCTCCATATAAGGAGCGTGCTATTTATAAATATGCCAACGTTTTTTCAAAGCTCCAAATGCTCGTTCAACATCTTTTCTCGCCTTCTCTTGAGCTCTCTTAAATTTTAACCTTTTGCGATCATTTGGACAAGACGATGACTTCACAAAACAAGCACGCTCCGGATAGATCACATCCATAATAAAATACCCATTCCTATACGATGTTTTAACTACTTGAAAGGATGAGTCTGGTGCAGTCTCGTTATACATGTCGTCAAGTAACGAAGACATGTTAACAACATTAATGTCATTGAGGAAGCCAACTAAGCCAAAAAATACATGTCATATCCATATATCTTGTGAGGCCACCACTTCAAGTATAACGGTTGGATAACCATGATCGCCTCGAGTATATTGTAATTTATGGGCATTCGGACAACAACCCTATTCCCAGTGGAGGCAATCTAGGCTTCCTAACATTCCAGGAAAGTCATGCACATTTGAGTGATGAGCATACAATTGATGGATGTCACTACAAGTAGGTTTGCGCAGATATCGTGGACCATTAATCTCATGACATACTTGCAAAATTTGTGAAGTCTAGTTCGTGCAGTATGTCTGGACATCCTAAGATTCTCCTCTAGTGCATCAGGCAAAGTGACATATGCTAATTGACGAAGTGTAGGGATGCATTTTTATATAGGAGTAAAACCAATTGTACCTCTAACATCTCGACATTGTTGAAAAAATGGACATACTGTTGTGACGTCGTTAACTATATGCAAAAACATAGATTTATGCATACGGAACCGACGATGAAAATAATATCCTATAAAGTTGGTGTCATCCATAAAGTAATCTTGCATGAGCCCTTCATTAGCCGCCTTACGAAATCTTTGTATGTATCTTCTCTTCCTCCGACGTGTATTCTCCGCATTTTCTTATTGTAGTTGCTCGAGCATCTGTTCCGCCTCCTGAATAACCTTTATGGTCATTTCAAACAAGACATCAAACATGCCCGATAAAGATGACGAATATGACATTTTGAGAGAGTGTATATGAGATGTAAATTGATTTTGATAGGAGGTTTTAAAAAAATGGAAGTAGTCGTTGCAGCCACCCCATTGGTCCACTCAACATAGTCAAACTCGACATTTACTCACCGATATACCGAGCCGAGGGGTCGGCTTGGTGTGCGCTGAAGTAGCCGAACTCCTAGCCGAGCCCATTCCTTCCAGCCTCATGTTGGTCCAAAATACACGGTATCAGTTCAAAATATCGCTTTCTGAAATATTTTTTTGTCGCATGGGACAAACCACCACACATAACTACATTTATGAGAAAGTGTAATATTTCTAATTTCAAAATAAAAAGGCTATTTTTGTTATTTAGCTCGTTTATAAAGTTATCGACATCTCAATTTTTTGTACTTCATTAACTTTTGTTAAGTAAAACTTTAATATACCTTTTAAATCGACTAAACTAAATCAAAACAAATAACAGCTTGTATGTATTTTCATTGTATCTGCTGTATCTTTGGTGGAAGTTGTACGGAGTAAAAGAAAGTCGCCGAAAGGAGAAAGGGACATAGATATAAATTATACGAACTCAACAAACGAAGGAGAACGGGGAAAAAAGAAATTCCCCAATTTCAGTTCAAATTATTTTTTAGTCGCAAGTAATGCGAATTGAGAAACGAAGAACCAGAATTCTTCCAACGGTTAGTAAAATTAAACACCATTTTAATGCACCGACATCTTTAATTTACAATCAATTTCAGCTTTCTCTCTCTTTCTTTACTCGATTTCGCTGGCGATTTTTAAGTGTTGAACAAGTTTCAGTAGAATACCGTTGGAGAAAAAGCTTAAAAATCACATTGATTCGTGATACATTTTTGGTGTTTGTTTTTTTTGTTTATGTTTAGCTGCCATTAAAGTCGATCGCGAGCTCTTGCTGGATTCCGATTCATTGATTTGTTGTTGATTTCACCGTTTTGGTTATACAGGTAATCGTTTCTAGATCTCGTTGATAGCTGATAGTGATCAATAGTTTGTCTTAATTGATCGCTTTTTGATTGTTTATTTGTTTCTGTTGATTGTGGTTATGATTTGAAGAAAATTCAAATCCAAGAAGGCGGATTTTGTTTGTCGTTAGGTGATTTTATTAATTAAAGGCTGCTGCATTAGGGACATTGGAAGATTTGAAATCAGCCATAGATATGCATTTTAAATAATTAAAGGCTGCTACATTAGGTCAAATTCAATCCTTTTTTTTTTTTTGTTCTTAACCCTAAAAACAAACAGAATCCTGTAACCATATTCTTGATAGTTGATAATCATGTAAGCTTTTGAATATTATTTTGTCGATTTTTATATCTGCATGTACACGTAGAGGAAATATTAAATCTTGAAGCCAATTCATGTGAAGGAAGATGAGTGAGAATGGTAACAAAGTTTTGAAAATTGTATAAAAAATACCATTTAATTCTGTTTTATGCAAAAAATACCAACAAATATTGCATTTAACCATTTGTTCAAAAAACACAATTTCATCACCTACCCAATAATATGTACAAATGATATAATTTATTTATGTTTTTGAACAAACAATTAACTTTAGTTCATATGTGTAATAAATAGTATAGTTTATTAGTAATTTTTGTACAAACAATGGTTTATGGTATTTTTTATACAGTTTTAAAAGTTTATTACCTCCTAACTAAGTAACTAGTAATACATAACATTTTGAAATTTATTGAAATTTGCTTTATGTCCAAGAATATGTTTTGCTTTTTGCAAAAAGAAGTGCACTTAGCTTTTTTTTCTTTTCTTTTAATTAGTGTTTCCTCTTTTTCTTTTTAGGTTAGATTCTCTTATCACTGAATTCTTTTATTTTGTTTTTTTGTAACATAAATTTGTTCTCCACTATCAAAAACAATCTTTAATTGGAATAAAACTGAATATATATAGAAAGATCTTAACTAAAGTTCCGTTTTTTTAAACATTTAAACTCATACTTCTGAAAAAAACTAAAGTTCAAACAATTATTCTCTGCTTTATGTAAACAAATTTTTACGTATATATTTTTCTTCTTCTTCATTTAGGTGTTCAATCACGAGATCCATTAATGGAAAACTTAATCAAGCATCGACTATTATCAGTCGCCATTTTCATTCTCATAAATCTTCACATCACCATTGCTGATCTGAGCTCCGATACTGAAGCTCTCCTTAAGTTCGCTTCATCAGTGCCACACCTCAGAAAACTCAACTGGGATTCCACTCTCCCGATTTGCAGTTCGTGGTTTGGAGTTAAATGCAACGACGCCGGAACACGTGTCACCGCCGTTCATCTCCCCGGCGTCGGACTTTACGGCCGGATTCCGCTAAATACCATCGGAAAACTAGACGCACTCAAAATCCTCAGTCTCCGATCGAACTTTCTCACCGGGAATCTTCCTTCAGATATTCCGTCTATTCCTTCTCTTCAATCTCTCTACCTTCAACATAATAACTTCTCCGGTAACATTCCTCTTCCTCTTTCCCCTAAAATAACTGTTCTAGATCTCTCCTTCAATTCCTTCTCCGGTAACATTCCGGCGGCGATTAAAAATCTCACTCGTCTCACCTCATTGAACCTCCAGTTCAATTCGTTTTCCGGCGCCGTTCCCGAGCTTAACGTCACTAGGTTACGACTCCTAAACGTTAGCTACAACACCTTAACCGGTTCAATCCCTGAATCCCTCCAGAAATTTCCAGTTTCTTCATTCGAAGGGAACTCATTCTTATGTGGACAACCTCTGAGTCTATGTTCATCTTCTTCTTCTTCTTCTCCGATCAGTCTCCCATCTCCGGCGAAACATAAGAAACTCAGTACCGGAGCTATCATCGGAATCGCAATAGGAGGATTGTTTGTACTAATACTACTCGCTATCTTCTTCGTTTGTTGTTTGAAGAAGAAAAACGACGAAGATTCAGTCCGTTCATTGAAAGTCAAAGCAGTGACGGCTGGGAAAAATGAAAAGTCCGATGACTTTGGAAGCGGAGTTCAAGCGGCGGAGAAGAATAAGTTGGTTTTTCTCGATGGAAGTGGCTATAACTTCGATCTTGAAGATCTGTTGAGAGCGTCGGCGGAGGTTCTCGGAAAAGGAAGCTATGGGACGGCGTATAAGGCGATTCTGGATGAAGAAACGACGGTGGTGGTGAAACGGATTCGAGAAATTGGGGTGGCGAAGAAGGAATTTGAGCAGCATATGGAGTTTGTAGGGAGGATCGGAAAACACCCGAATATTGTTCCGGTGTGCGCTTATTACTTCTCCAAGGATGAAAAGCTTCTTGTTTACGAGTATATGTACTCCGGCAGCCTCTCCTCACTCCTACACGGTATACAAAATCATCTTCCCCAACATCTTACAATGTGTTAATTTAGTTCTTATGATTTTTTAAATTGTTTGAATAGGTAACAGAGGCATAGGAAGAACACCATTAAATTGGGATTCAAGAGTGAAGATATCACTAGAATCAGCAAAAGGAATCGCTCATATCCACTCAGAAGGAGGCGCGAAATTCAGCCATGGAAACATCAAATCATCAAACATTCTTCTCACCAAACACCTCGAGGGTTGCGTATCGGATCTAGGGTTAGCTCCATTGATGAACTTCCTCCCAACAAAATCCCGATTCATTGGATACTACGCTCCGGAGGTAATCGAAACCCGAAAATTCACACACAAATCCGATGTTTACAGTTTCGGAGTCCTGCTTCTTGAGATATTGACCGGAAAAGCTCCACTTCCGCTCCCGTCGTCCAGTCAAGAGGAGGTGGTTGATTTGCCGCGGTGGGTCCGGTCGGTGGTCCGGGAGGAATGGACGGCGGAGGTGTTTGATGTGGAATTAATGAAGGAACAACATGTGGAGGAGGAGATGGTGCAGATGCTTCAGATTGGGCTTGCATGTGTGACTAGGGTTCCGGATATGAGACCGTCGATGGAGGAAGTTGTTAGGATGATTAGTGATTTACGGCCGTCGGAATCTTCTGATAATCGGCCGTCGTCGGAGGATAATAGGTCTAATGTGGCTACTCCCTGATTGTTTTCATCTGTAGTTCCGATTTCCTGGTGATTTCCATATTGGGGTTTTATATTATTCAAAGTTGAAAAATATAGATGTTATTTTTTTTTTTTATATATTATTATTATTATTATTATTATTATTGTCATTGTCATTTCCTTTCGTGTTAAAGTAAATTATCTTTCGTGTTAAAGTAAATTATACAAATGTTCCATCCGATTTTTGGTTGTTTGCGTGTTTGTTTCCTTTTTATAATTTGGATCATTTTTATGTTATGATTTTATTGGGGTTTTGGTATATTATCTTAAGAGAAAATTCATGAAATGATTAAATAAAGGGATGTGTATGAAACAATTAATCAGTAAAAACAAAAATTTGTAAAATGATCATGACTTCCGCAAATAAGGGCTCTATAAAAGCCTTAAACCTCGTGAACCTGAATAGCACAAGGGCTCTATGGAAACCTTAAACATCTGATGAACCTGAATACTACTGAGGAAATGAAGTGGTAGGGGTATTTTTGTAAAATCACCAAACACAAAACAGGTTTTGTAGTGTTGGCTGTGGAAGGAGGAAGGATTTGGGGGAGGACTACTGCAAAACGAAGACTAAAAACGGGAAAAAAACGCTCTATCGAATCTCCAAGAAATAGGAATGAATATGGTGAGTAAACAACTAGAAAATCCTGAATTTGACCATTTTCAAATGAAGAACAATTCCTCGAAGCTGGACAAAGAACATATCTGGATAGGGTATTTCTACGGATCCATAGTACCCTCTGTGGAATTAACATTTTTTTTAAAAATGTTTTTTTGTTAAACATCCTCAGAGGCTTTATAGTTCCGCATAGTCATATGCATTTCCACATAGACATCTTCTACAGAAGTATGTAAAACAACATTTTTTTTGTCTATTTTCTCATGTGTCCGGCTCCTCATAGGTTTAAGGCTTTCGAAGAGCCCCTTTCTGCGGAAGTTATTATCATTTTACAAATTTCAGTTTTTCATGGTTAATTGCTTCATACACACCTCTTCTTTTTATCATTTGATGAATTTTCTCTTATCTTAATCAATATTTTTAGTTTTTTATTATTATTAATCTATTAAAATAAATTGTTTAATAATATATGGGTCCCACAAACATCTACCTCCACCCTCTTCCTATTCACAAACTTTTGTCTCCCTTTCGTGCATCTCTCCTCTCACTGGAAACCGCCACCATCATTCCTTTGTTATATTTACTCTATCGATCGAACATCCACTACCACCTCTGACATCTTTTGACCACCTTTGGTAGTTGTCAAAAAATAAATTTAAATCTAGTTTGCTAATAAACAACTGAAGGTGGCGATAAATTAAGGTTTCTACGCATAAACAAAATTGTTTTTAGCCTTTTCTTCTATTCACAAACTTTTGTCTCCATTTCGTTTATCTCTCCTCTCGCTGGAAACCGCCACCATCACTTATTTGCCATATTTCAACAACTATGCTTTTACTCTGTGGATCAAACAACATCCACCACCACCTCTGACATCTTTTGACCACCTTAGGCAGTTGTCAGAAATTAAGGTTAAATCTAGTTTGTTGATTAACAACTGAAGGCGACAAGAAATTAAGGTTTCTACGCATAGACATAATTGTTTTTAGCATTTTCTTCCTAACTGGTTTAGAGTTAAGTCCAGTTTGTTGCGAAATCAGAGTCGTGAATCTTCTCCTTCATTTCACTTGAAATTTAAACAATGGTGGTAATGCTTAAATTATACATATATTTCAGGTGTTATCTTAATATTTTTAGTTGTGTTCTGATGTAAATATAGATAAAAGATACTTATAAATGTTTTGAATTGTTATTTTACAGATTAGATGAGTTGTTGGAAGAAAAGAGACTGAAAGAGAGACTTTTTGTAAAGTTCTCCAAGTGTTAGTTCTGGTTGCGCGAGGTGCAGTTTCTGGGGCACTGTAACATCCCAAAAATCATGACCAAAAATTTCATTTTTAATTATTAAATAGAACCATAGTTATTCAACCATTCCATCAAAACATGAGTCATAGTATTTCAAAACATTATTATCAAAGTTTCCAAATCAAAACATCATAGTAAACATGTCAGGCTAAACATCATAGTGTGTGCAGTGCAGTCATCTCGAGCCCTGCTCTTTGCAACTGGAAGTACCTGAAACCAAAACTGAAAACCGTAAGCACGAAGCTTAGTGGAGTCTTCCCAAACTACCACATACCATACACATAATCACATATACTAGGCCCCCCGCCCCTTCATTCCCCCCCCCCCCCGGCATTGGACAGTGTTCGGCATCAGGCCTCGCCTGACATTGAGCCCCGCTCGATATACATATTTGTTTCTCCCAGGCCCCGCCCGCTATACACATACAAAAAAATATGATATAATCATGCTAGCACATAAATAATCATACACGGTACTACATGTTCCAATCCTAAGGCCTCGCCTACTGTAACATCCCGAGATCTTACATGTAGTTCCGAACCCACTCTTCTATTATTATTTTGTCATTTGTAGTCCTTAAGGTTAGAAGAGTCGACCCATGAGAAGCCTAAGGCTAAAGTTGCAACTTTGAGAACAAGAATAGTACGCTAAGTGTATATAAGGTACGTTAAGCGTACTAGGCGCGCCCTAGTACGTTGGGTGTACTCGCGTCAGATGTAAACCCTAATATTTAGGTTTGAGTGTTATATAAACGTCCTTATGAGCTTATAACCCTTCCTTACATCAACCTCCTCAGTCTTTAGCTGTTTTCCCCAAACCCTAATCCATTTATTGAGTGTGTGAGCTTATTGAGTGTGTTTGAGTAGTTGGAGAAATAAGTGTTGCATCAAGAGGTTGGAGAAGGAGTACAAGCTTGTGGATCTGAAGTTGTTTTGTGCCCTATAAGCTCCAAAAGGTAAAAATCTTCAAACTTTATGCTTATATGATGTAGATCTTGCTATGCTAGCTTTATGGAACCATTCTTGTCCCAAAAAGTCCCAAGTTGGTGCATGATATGATTTGGACGAGATAAGCTGTCCTTTCAGACCCTTGGAGAGGTCCTAGGTGATAAATATGATGTCCCAATAGCTAAATGTGTCTCATGCATGGAGTAGGAATGTCTTAATGGGTTAAGACCATGTATTAAGAACTTTATGGACGTCCAAAGTATTAAAAGTTTAAGACTTTATGAGTTCTAGGCATATTTGGTCAATGGATCTGAAGTTTAGGCTTAAGTGCTTAAGCCATTAAGCACTTATTAGGGTGTTGGCAAAACCTTGCGTATGCCCCGTATAATTTTTGAACGCCCAACATACCGAGTTAACCACCCCTATGGTGGTCAACACGGATGGAAGTACGCCCAGCGTACCACAAGAGTACGCCCCGCGTACGCCCTTTGTTGGGCTTTTGACAGTTAGGCTTTGGGTGGGCCGCCTTTGGACTAACTGGACTTGGGCCTGACTGGATTTTCTGAATAATTGAGTTTGGGCCCAGTTTTGATGATGGATCTTAGATTAAGGCTCAATTAGGAGGTTAGGCTCAATTAGGAAAATTGGGTTATTAATGGGCTTTGGATATATGGACTTTTAAGAACATGGATTTTGCAATTGGGCCTTGGCCCATTAGAAAGAAAGGACAAACTGGATTATGTGGACCCTTAGTCAAGATTGATATCCCATGTATTGACTTGGTATTTATTATTTGGATAGTTCGAGATTTTTGGTGAGACAACGATCAGAGGTTTTCCGTACTTTTAGTTGTAACACCCAGAATGAGGAAGACTAGAAAAGAAAGGTTAAGCTCTAAATCAAGAGTCAACTCGTCGAGTCCAGGGAGGAACTCGACGAGTCGGAGCGGGATCTGGGTCATTGAGTAACTGACCGACTCGTCGAGTCTGGTCTGGGCGAGAAAAACCCTAATTCCAGAGGTTGTGCCATATATAAAGCACATTATAACCCACCCTCAACCACTTTACTCCCCTTTTGAGTTCCAAAAACCCTAGAATTGAGTGAGCCTTCATTATTTGAGAGAATAGAGTCTTGGAGAGGAGAATCTTGGACAAGGGCTTGAAGATCAAGGGATTTGCTGCAAAGGAGTGGTGTAGATCCGAGATTTACTTCAGTTGGAGCTTTCATTTGAGGTAATAGTCTGTTGCTTGGGATTTTGTGCATCTAGATATATCTTATGTTTGAGATTTGGGAATTTTGAGTATGGGTGAGATCTACTTTGAGTTTGGAGTAGATCTGAGGTTGCTACCTCAAATCTAGGTTGGTAATAATCCAGAAAGTCATAAAGTTGAGGCCAATAAGTTGTTGGTGAAACCTTTGTTACAAAACCTAGCCTTAGAGTGTTCTAAGCCTATAACTCCTTGGTTACACGTAAAGTTTGCCACTTTACGTGGGGGTTTAAGAACTGAAGAGACTATGGATTTGATCCCCTGCATGGCTCGAAAAGCCATTGTATGGTTTAAGAACTGAAGAGACTCGGCGAGTCACATGGGTGTACTCGGCGAGTTGTATGAACTTGAGCATGGACTCGACGAGTTGGAAGAACAACTCGGCGAGTCTGTTGAATATTACCTTGGACTCAGCAAGTTTGTTCTTGGACTCGGCGAGTCTGGTCGCAGAACCTCAAACCTTTTTTGCCCACAGCGCGGACTCGTCGAGTTGACTCCCGACTCGTCGAGTCCCTTCATTAAATCCAGTCAGCAAATCGCGATCCTACTCGACGAGTCTAGGCGTCAACTCGTCGAGTCCATCTTCTTAAAAAAATAATTAATTAAAATATGATACCTGGAATTTCAGATGTTACAGAAATCATTTATCTCGCTCATTTGATCAATCAAAACCATTTCATGGTTATTTAAGCAACCCAAAAATAATTTTATTTTTATTCAACAACATTATACCAATTTAGTTAGGATCTTACACACTTTAATCAAACACAAAGTTGATTAACTTAGACCACTGTATCGATCAAAGGCCAAATCTATTAGAGACCATATCTGTTAGATTGTTGTCTAAAATCGCTGGGCATTTCCCAAACCAAACCGATGGATCTATTCTACATTAAAATTTAATGTTATATTTTTGTTAAGATTGATCCAAAATTCTTTGTTTATGCCTTCTTCTCCATCCCCACACGATGATTTAAGAAGAAGATGGATGTCTCGTATTGTCAACGTGTTGAAATCATTATCGATAATATGACAAGGGTTTGCAGGTAACCTAACAAGTTTTGTTGGTAAGTGACGATTTAAGGAGGGGGTGTTAGGGTGGAGGATGTAGGAAGAGGTTGCGTCTACGATTGAGGGGATGTGGGAGATGGCCGACTAGAGTGGAGAGATGAGATATTATCTATGTATTTTTTGAAAGAAAATAAATATAAAAATGTAATTAAAAAAGTCATAAATGTTATATGAATAAATAACAAGTTCTGACAAAGGTGAAATGATCATTTTGTTAAATCCATGCAAAATTAAAAGAAATATGAATGCAAGATATGTAACATTTTTATACTTATTTTACACATGATATGTTTTTTTGAGAAATTTATTAAAATAACAAATTTGCTAATTACTTTGAAAAAAATAGTCAAAAATCAACAAATTACGCAAACTAACCATTGAAATCGCAGGTGATTAAGGACCTGGTCATCTGCGATTTCTTTAGTTCATCTGCCAATATACAACCCTTCAATGCACATATATGCATCAACGACTTGTACGATCGCAGATGAAAAACATTATCAAGAACGATGAACGAAGCTATGTATTCTCCCGAAAACATGGTAAGATCTCCCAAAAACTGCCAAATTTCATAATCAACCTTATCAAATTTGTAGTCAAACCTATCTATTTAAAAAAAAATAAAAACAAAAACCAACAAATCGCAGATGAGGTTTGAAGCATATTGTAGATGGAGCACACCCAACAAAGACATTAGTGATTTTGACTAAATTAATAAATTTCTTTATCTCGTCCCTACTTTGTATATTTTTTTAAACTCATACCATTCATATTTAATATTTTTGTTGAACGCTTGGTTCTGATAAATCAATATTTCTAGAACGGCCAGAGACCAAACATACAACAAATATATAAAATAGAAAGAGTCCGAATTAAAAAAAGTTACTAAGGACCAAACTCACGTTACCTTAATCCATAGATGCCATCAATGTAATTTATCCTTAAACATAAAATTAGTGGAAATGTTAATTTATTAGAAGTTTGGTGGCCATTCTCAAAATCCAAAACAACTGGAACCCTGGCCTAAACCCCATCCGCCATCGGCCGTCTCCACTCTCCAGTTTCTCCTGCCTCTGGTTTCCTTGCATCTCTACTGTCTCCGATTCTCGCAGTTACGCTCTTACTTCGTTAATCTCTATCTTTATCGGCCTCGTTCCCTTCTCGATCTCTCTGCTCTCACTGAATCACACTCGACTTTCCGCCTCTCAATTCTCGAGTAAGTGTAATCTACTATTGTTTTTTATTTTGAAAACCCTAAATTAGTTGTTGGTGTCGACTCTCAACATTAATTAGTCTCATTGTGTATTTAGGCTCTCAATCTTAGTTTCTTCATTTGGTCAATCAACCAGTTTTTACAAAAATCAGTAGGTTTACGACTTTGTCTCTTCGTATTTGATCCCTGCATTAAACTTGCAAAGCGTAATTGGATGTTCATACTAGGAATTGAAGTTAATTGCTTCAATGTAAATCAATGATTTACGGTATTTGATTGGAAATTAGTTTTATGCCACCTCTTATTTTACTTTCTTCCAATCCTGAAAAAAAGACGAAGGCTCTGAGAAATTATACCTAGCTAAAATGGTGGTAAAGGTTTAAGGATTTTCATCTTTTCAAGCCAATAAAGCTTCTGCTACTAACTGATTACCCTGCATCTGTGGTAGTCTTTGTATTTGAAATTGAAGTTTCTTAGAATAAAAAAGCTCAGCTAACATCATTTTTCTTCAATTGGAGCAGTCCAGACTCCAGTAGCACATAGTGTAACTTTCCAAGTTAAAAATGGGTAAGATTTTTATTCTTTTACTTTATCATATGCTAATTGATTTGAAGAATTCCAGAGTTAATATTTGTATTTGGTGAGCTTCAGGTAATGAATCTGGAAATAAATCTCGTAAAGAGAGAAGGAAAGAAGCTCGATTAGACAAGAGTAAGAAAAAGTTTGACTCTTGGGTCCAACACCATGTAAGAAAAATCCTTCCTTCCATTATTAGAATGTCAAACATTGTCTTAAATTCATACTAACATGATTATCTGTGTTGGTTTCTAGCAATTACAAAAAACAAAAAAAGTTAGCAACAATCAGAAGGCCGAAAATGTGGAGAAGAATACTCAAGTTACAGAAGAGAAAGAAACTTCAGAACCAAATGATTTGAAGGAGTGTAAAGATCTGAAGCGAAAAAAGAATTCCCAAGAGAAGTCAAAAACCAAATTTGAGGAGTATATAGATATGGAAACTCAAAAAGATGATATTTCTGCTATGGAGGATGTAAAATTGGAAAGAAAACTTGCTAAGAAACTCAAGGTAAAGGATAAAAAGTTACATGGTGTCGATGATGACATTAATATGTTGTTTGAAGGCATTCCTTCTGCTCTTGAGTCCTTGGATACAGAAAGTGGAGATTTTTCTAAAAAAATTACAACTTCACTCAAGAAAAAGAAGAGGGGAGTATCATCAAAAGATGACCAAATGAATACATCTTTAGAGCCAAAGGTGTTGAGAAAAAAGAAAACAAAGTTTGAAAAATATCTGGAATTGGAGAACCAAGATGATTTGGCATCTGCTAAGGAGGACATTGCTTTGGAAAGAAAACTTGCAAAGAAGCTTAAAGTGAAGAAAGGGAAATTAGGGGGAGATGATGATGATATCAACATGTTATTTGATGGGATTTCATCTGTATTCGATTCTTTGGAATCTGAAGAAAATACAAATACAGACATGGAAGAAGAAGAAGAAGAAGAAGAAGAAGAAGAAGAAGAAGAAGAAGAAGAAGAAGAAGAAGCAGCAGCTTATGAGGCAACTATCAAAAAAGACATTTCAAGAAAGAAACGCAAGAAGAACTCTGAACAGAAGGTGAATGTTGAGATTATAAGTGAAGATGTGGTTCAAGAATCTGAACATGAACATGAACATGAACATGATGATGGTGAAGCATCTAAAAAGGAAGGACATGCAAAATATGTGCCACCTCAGCTTAGATCCATGTCAAGAAATGAGTTGGAAGAACATGCTCAAATTCGTAAACGTGTGAGAGGTCTTTTAAACAGACTGAGTGAATCAAATGTGGAAGGAATTACAATGGAAATGTCCTCAATCTTCCATGTAAGAATATATTTTGCATGATATATTTTATAGCTAAGATCAGTGGTCTCATTCAACTGTTGACTTTTTGACTTTTGCAGTCTATTGCTCGTGGTGTTGGTGCTCAAATTATCAGTGAAGAAATTTTGGCATCATGTGCAGGGGGACCTCGTGGAAATGAACAGTTGAGTCCACCTTCTATGCTCCCATTAAATCTTATTTCTTGCATCCAAAATAAAATGACTATTTTGCCCCTTCTTCACTGAAACATAATATATTCTTCACTTTAGCTTTGAATTGGAGTGGTTTGCATATTGGGGTCTTGAGTAGTTATAGAGTTTTGGACCAGGGAAATTGATTAAATTTTTTAGGGGGCAAAATAGTCATTTTAGCTTGTGTCAGGGATGAACTTAGGAAAAATTACAGGGACTAAAAGAAAGTGTTTGTTTTTTCATTTCTTGATGCAGATCCATTATGTTTCTTTAGTAATATTATTAAATCATTGTCATTGGGTAGTTATTTGACAAAATTACATATATACCCCTGCAGGTATGCTTCTGTTTTTTCAGCTTTAGTAGCTGGATTGGCTTGCTTAGTTGGAATTGACTTTGGTGCAAAGCTGCTTGCCTCACTTGCAAAGTGTTTTGAGGTTACTTTTATTAAAGAAACCAGTTTACTTATTTAATTAAATTAAAAAAAAAATCATAAGGCTGAAACTTTTTAATGTTATAATCAGGATGAATACCTAAAAGAAGACAATCTTTCCTTGCGGAATTTGACTCTTCTTCTCTCTTATTTATACATATTCGGAGTTTGCTCAAGGTAAAAAAAGTATCAATCAATTGTCATTTTCTTGATTCAATTACCACAATGACACATTTGCCCTTGTAACTCTTTTCTTAATGCCTTCACAGTGATTTAATCTATGATTTCATGATGATGCTGAGCTCACGTTTGACCGAGGTTGATGTTTCCACCATCTTGACAGTTCTTAACTGTAAGATTCCTGAACTACCATTTTACCCCCTTCACTCAATAATATTTTCATTTTACCCCCTGATCTTGTTTAAATCATGAATCTTATCCAGGTTGTGGGATGAGATTAAGGAGTGATGATCCTGCCACCATGAAAAATTTCATTGTCAGCATTCAGAACAAGGTGGCTGAACTTAAGGCCACGTCAGATAATCAAGCAAAAAGTAAAAGAGTATGTTTTTTTTTTTTTTTTTTTTCTTTTTTCATTTTAAAAATAAAATTAAAGATTATCCACTTCTTTAATTTATATATATATTCTGTTGACAGATGGAGTTCATGCTTGAAACAATATTTGACATTAAGAATAACAAAAAAAGGGCTAAAGAAGATACCTTACCACATACACGAATCAAAAAGTGGCTTCAAAAGGTCTTTTATATATTTCATTACATTATCTATTTTTAAAATTATAATCGCTTAAATATTGTTTTAATTTTGTGGAATGTTGCAGTTGAGGGTAGAAAGTATTTTAGTTAGAGGATTAAAATGGAGCAAGCTTATTGACCCAAACAAAAAAGGTCAATGGTGGTTATCTGGAGATATGATCTCATCATCTAATAATAATATTGAAAATGTTGCTAAAAAAATTGATAAAGAAACCTCTGAAGCTCAAAAAATGCTTCAACTTGCTGCTAAACAAAGAATGAACACAGATGCAAGAAGAGCAATTTTTTGTATAATTATGAGCTCTGAAGATTATATCGATGCCTTTCAGAAACTTTTAAGATTGGATTTGCAAGGGAAACAGGTATTATTATCATTAAATTTTTTATAAACAGAAATGAATTAAATTACAAAATTTTATATTAATGTAGGATCGAGAGATGATGAGAGTAGTTGTGGAGTGTTGTCTACAGGAGAAAATATTCAACAAATATTATTGTGTTCTTGCTTCACAGTTATGCACACATGACAAAAACCACAAGTTCACATTACAGGTATTTGAATATTTCATTTCATCTTTTTATATAACTTTATATATCTAAAACAATTCAAAAATTAATTTTTTTTTTTTTTTTTTTTTTTGTTATTAGTATTGTGTATGGGATCACTATGGAGAACTGGAATCGATGCAACTAATGAGATCAATGCATCTGGCAAAATTCATAGCAGAAATGGTGTCGAATTTTACACTTTCACTTGCAGTGTTAAAAAAGGCGGATTTACATGATACAACTCAGCTAACTAGTAAAAAAAGTATGCATTTTAGGATATTTTTTGAGGCTGTTTTTGAGTATCCGGATAATGTTGTGTGGAATATATTTAAGCGTGTTGCGGGGGACCCACAATACGAGACCCTTAGAACTGGAATTAAGTTTTTTATAGAGAGGTATGTTGTGGGGATTGACAAGGAGCCGTTTGTTGGGAAATATAAAATTGCCAAAAAAGCCCTTAAGAGTGTTGAAGAAGACCCCTTTAGTTGAGATAATTGATGCTCTCAAGTTGGAAGTTGTATCTTTCATGAAAATTTTGTAGAAGTAAGCTAGTTGATATATGTACGTTGTGTTTTGAACTTTTGATGTGAGGGTATTTTATTTAAATATCATTTAATGGTGCAATTTTTTTTTTGTTGATTATTTTGAGAAACAAATTGATGCATGTTCAAGACTCTTACTCAACAGATAGTGCAATAAAAGCTTGAATTGTCCTGTTTGTAGAAGGTGAGAAGTTACCAAAGATCCTTCTCTCTTACTGATACTTGATAAAGCAAATGATCTCAATTGATGAATTTGTGAGTTCTATAAATGACTTGTTGGCAATAATAGTGTGTGTTTGTTATAATGTTATGAGTATGACCAATCATATTTTCCATTGATGATTTTTATACGTGTAGTTTATTTTTTTTGATTGGTCATATCCAAAATCCATGAAAACCCGACTCAAATCAAGAATATAATAAAAGGAAAAAGAACGAACCTTGGGTCAAAATCTATGCCTAAACTGATTAGAGGAGCAATATAGGATCCTTCGAGAAGGGAAAATCCCATTAAAAAGGAATCATTAAGACCCTTTTTGGCTGAGAATGTTAGTGAACACAAGATGATTCAAATCAGATTAAATCAAGATTGAAAAGATTTCAAGAAATCATTCGGTAAACCTTTTGATGTGGAGGAGTAGCGACATACCACATGATGCATCCCCAAGATGCGAGGAGAGTAAGAAATCCTCCGATGTTCCAAGTTTCATTCGATGTGAAGATAATCCCCGACTGCAGATGCTATGATGGTGCAACATAGTGATACATAAACCTGCAATTAATGGCATTAGAGGAGGCCCATTTACTAACAATCAGTTTACCAAATCGAATAAAGCAAGATATCATTTGATTGTTTTTATCACGATTAGTTTTGATGAAACGAACGAACAACATAAAATTATGAACAAATAAGAGGGTGTTTGGATAGGAAAAAAAAAGATGCTTATTGTTTATTCCCATCACAACAAGCTAAGTTTAAGTGTTTGGATATAAATACTTAAAAATCAGCTTATTGTGATAGAAATAAGTTAAATAAGTTGATTTTAATAAGCATCCCCCCTCTCCCCTTGGTTATTGCTTATTCCCACAACAAACATTTTTGCAAAAACCGTTTATTCCCACCGCAATAAGTTAATAAGCTATAAATTAATTTATCCAAACACCCTCTAAACAAGTTCGTCAAGTTTCCTATAAGTGAAACGTGATGCGGAGATATGTGAATCAAGTAGTCAAAACCAAAAACACTAAACACAATTTACAGAAAAAGAATAAAAATAATATTTTGTAAAAGAAACGGTTAAACCAAAGGAATCATATATATATATATATATATATATATATATATATATATATATATATATATATATATATATATATATATATATATATATATATATATATATATATATATATATATATATATATATATGTTCAGGTTCATTTGAAACCATTCTAATTTTGTGAGACCGTGAGACTAAATGTAAAAATAATTTAAAATTCAAAACAAATGGAAAAATCCAAAAATTCTTTTTTTAAATATTATTTTCGGAACTTGAATTAACTAAAAAATATATATATATAAAAAAATTCCGTTTTTTTTTGAAAAATAAGTGAAAAATATATTATAATAGAGTATTACATTGACATATTGTAAAAAATAATTTTAAAATGCAGAATAAATGGAAAAATCTAAAAATTCTCTTTTTAAATATTATTTTCGGAACTTGAATTAACTAAAAAAAATTTAAAAAAAATAAAAATAAATTCTATTTTTTTTTGAAAAATACGTGAAATATTCTAAAAGAATATTACACTGATATATTCTAAAAAATAATTTTAAAATGCAAAATAAATAGAAAAATCCAAAAATTCTTTTTTTAAATATTCTTTTTGGAACTTGAATTAACTAAAAAAAAAATACATCTTACGGTCTTACAAAATTAATCCGTCTCACATTAACTTAACCCTATATATATATATATATATATATATATATATATATATATATATATATATATATATATATATATATATATATATATATATATATAAAAGTGAAACGTGATGCGGAGATATGTGAATCAAGTAGTCAAAACCAAAAACACTAAACACAATTTACAGAAAGAATAAAAAGAATATTTTGTAAAAGAAACGGTAAAACCAAAGGAATCATATATATATATATATATATATATATATATATATATATATATATATATATATATATAGGGTTAGGTTCATATGAGACGACCTAATTTTGTGAGACCGTGAGACGCAATTCTAGCCACTCATTTATTAGATAAAACAAAAACTTTTTTAAAATACAAAATGCCTTTTTGTATAAAGTAGTTGAGTTTGTTCCTAGAAAATCCAATATTTTCCATAAATGAATAGTAGTTTCAAAAGTTCTAAAAACCCGAAATGCATAAGTATTTTTCCCTACCTAAAATAGTGTAAGTAGAATTATATATGTATATATAACTACTAAGGCGTTTAATAGCCCCGAAAATCAAATGTTTTAATACTTCGTGTGAGTTTTATAACCGTACTATTGACCCAGACTGCCTGTAACAACGTTCTTCAGGCGTTGGAATGATATAACATTTGTCACCCCAGACCTGCCGGTCTAACTGTAAGTAACAGTTTAGGTGCGGGATTGTCAATCTCGTATAGATCTATACACAAGTATCACGCTCTCCTTACAAGAGATTATGGTTTATAATACAAGACTTAAAATGCGTACTTGAAGGTACGTGAAGTCAAATGTCTCACAAAAGTTTGTATCAAATAGGTTTACGTATGAAAAGTCTATTTTTCTTGTAAATGTAAGTATTTCCTTTTTATATTGTTTATAGAGTGTAAAATATCATGAATATCTCGTAAACTATACCTATTATAGTTTTTCAAACGTGTGTTTCATTTGAATGATAAACCTTAGTGTATTACCAATTTTGCATGTAAAGTATAACATTTGTAATAATGTTATTTTACTTATTTAACATTTATACACAAAATGTAGCTAAAGCATTAGAAACTGTATATAACGATTTGCATTTTAACACAAGTTTTTCTTGCGTTTGACTTGTATTTTCCCCCTAACATATAGTAAAAACGTGAAAATATAGGGGTATGAACTCACTTAGAAAGTGTGATGATTTGAAGAAAACAAGACTTTTCTCGGGCAACACTTCGACCGGAAAGTGGTATATTCCTCGGGAATCTTGGGGCTTCGAACTTCCATCAGAGCTTGGATATGAAACCGGGATGTCGGGATAGTCTCGAGAGGGTAGAAGTATGAAATTTGGGAGAGAAGGTAGTAAATTTGCAACTAAAAGTCAGAACCCTCGCATCCTATTTATTAGAGGGGAGCCTAGCCTCGTACATTTGGCATACTTCGAAGTACGCAGGGCGTTCTTCGTACACTGGGCGTACTTGTGTATGCGGTGCGTATGTCATGCATAACACCTTCCTCGGCTGTCGAAATTCGGATGGGACGGGGGTAGAGGGGTATAGGGGAGACGTGGTCGATTCGAGGCCCCGTATGGCGTACACTAGGCGTACCCCCTTGGTTTGTTTGTCTCAATCTTCTAAATTGCGTAACTTTCGCATACGAACTCCGTTTTTGACGTTCTTTATATCCATGCGTAGGTGAGAATATAATCTACAACTTTCATTTCGACATCGTTGGCAAAATTTGACTTTATTTTTAATTATATATTTTTAATAGGCCGGGACAGGAAAAGACCGTTAAAAATTCAGAACTTCTTCATCCGATGTCCGTTTTCGTCTGTCTTTTTACCGTTGTACTACTATTGTAGAGATCTACAATTCTCGTTTAGGTTGTATCGGCTAAAAATCACTCGATCTCTATTTCGAGTTTTTAACTGTCTACCGCTACTCCGAAACTTAGAAAAATCCTAACTTCCTCATACGAAGTCAGACTTGGACATTCTTTTTATGTACGTTCACAGTTTAATGATATCTACGACATTCGTTTAGATACATAAGGCTAAAAAGTATTTTATTGAAATTTCATGTTTCACGCTTAACAGTGTTTTACCGGTTTTGCTACAGATTTTCGATTGGTCATAACTTCTTTGTGATAACTTGGATTTGGGTATTCTTTATATTTTTGAAAACCTTGACACGATAACTATCATTATATGTATCCCAATTGAGACTTTTGAAGATTTCATTTCTGACGCTATTTTTATTTATTTATCAATTCAAAATATATTACAATACTTGACTTAGGTCATTACATTGACTTAAAATATCGGGTTGTCCCAGGTTCCATATCTCATTATTAGCAGAGTAGGGGCGGGGCCCAAGATAGGCGGGCCTTGAGACTAGCAGTTATAGTGTTATGTTTGAGTTTTATGTACTAGCAATATTATATGTTATTGTCTGTATGCGTATAGCGGGTGGGGCCAGAGACAGGTGGGGCCTGTTAGAAACAAATCTGTATACCGAGTGGGGCTCGATGCCAGGCGGGGCCTGAAGTAGCGGGCTAGGCCTTATGTATGTTATGTGATTATGTTTATGGTATGTGGTAGTTTGGGGAGACTCACTAAGCTTCATGCTTACAATTTTCAGTTTTGTTTTAGGTACCTCTACTAGCAAGGGGAAGAGCTTGGGATGACTGCATGACACACACCACATCTTTTAGCCTGGGATGATTTACTCTGATATTTTAAAACATGATTTTTATACATTATTTTGTTATGATGATTTGAGATACATGAATTATGATCTTTATTGTGACGTTTGATAAATTATGATTTTTCCAAAATGATTTGAAAATGAAACTTTTGGATTGTATTTTTGGAATGTTGCATACATGGAGCGGTGCTTGACTTGTAGGAAAGTCAAGGCTGAGCATCAGCGACCTCACGACAAGATGCAACCATTGGAGATTCTCGTTTGGAAATGGGAAGACATCACTATGGATTTGATCACGAAGCTTCCCAGGACTGCACGCGTAGTGGATTCTATCTGGGTCATCATGGATCGATTGACCAAGAGTGCACATTTCATTCCGATCTAGGAGAGTATATCTACAGAGAAGTTGGCCGAGATTTATGTCCGGGATGTGGTGGCACGTCATGGGGTGCCGGTATTAGTGGTTTTAGATAGGGATGTTTGTTTTACTTCTAGATTTTGGAAGTGGTTTCATGAAGAGATGTGCACTCATCTCCATTTTAGTAAAGCATTTCATCTGCAGACTGATGGTCAGGGGGAGTGGACTATTTAGACTCTTGAGGATGTG